GTTTTGGCGCTCTTTAATGCGGCAGGCGCGTTCGCTTTAGCGCCTCAGTTCAAGCGGCAAGTGAACCCATTTAATCTTTCTCTTTACTACTATAGTACATAATAAACACGAATTAACATCAAAAGGTAGGCTATTTTATAAGAGAGCCTACAGTACAACTTACTGAAATGTCTCATGTAAAAGCTCATTCAGTGTTTCAAACTGCGGAAAACGTGTAGGCTAAAGCTTGTAAACATTGCAACGTAATAATACATTCACCTCAGAATAACCATTCGGTGTCCATAAGCTCATCTGTCAGCTAGTAAATGTGCTTAAAAGGTTCTTTACAGAACCATTTTTGGTTCCACAAAGAACCATTCAGTCAAAATTCTTTAAAGAATAATTTCTTTCTCATCGTTTTATAATCTGAAGAACCTTCTTTCGCCACAAAGAACCTTTTGTGAAGCGTAAAGGTTCTTCAGATGTTAAAGGTTCTTTATGAAACCATTTAGACAAAAAAGGTTCTTCTATGGCATCGTGAAGCACCTTTATTTTTAAGAGTGTATGACAACAATTACAGGATGCATTGAGGAGGAGCCCAAACTACAAATTACACTCAGTGGCCAAGTGATGCTTATGGTCCACGATATTGGTACAGATTCTGTGTAATGAACAATTCTTTGTGACTGTATTTTTTTTTTTTTCTGGAACCCTGCCTAGTGTACACGTAAAAGCCCAAGTATAATTTGGGCCTAAGCAGATTGTATAAAAACATACGAGACTGTACAAATTCATACAAATTAGCCACCTATTTGTCAGAAAAGTAAAATAGTTATGAATTGCCATTAGAGTGTGTTGGCTGATGGCACATTCCGATGGATGTGAATTCAGCGAAGGGAACATTCTAGCATAAACTAAGGCTGGTAGTAATAAATCACACTCATAACCTGTCACCCCGTGTTTATAGTTACTCTCAGGATGATATGGGCCGTTCCTCAGCTCTCTATATCATTTTAATGATCATCTATGCGATCGAAAATGCTGCCATCCAAGAAAGTATAAATGCATTCCTGTGCCTGATGGCCCTCGGGCCTCGACGCTCTGGGCTACATTTCTAAAACCAGCACAATAAAACACTGTAAGGTGTCCACACTGTAAGAGTTAGAATATCCATAGATGGCGTTTTTAACAGTTCTGCGGGGAACTCTTACTGAACAGCAGAACCCTCGATTGAAAGTTTGTGGAAATCTGTGATGTGTACCCATTATGGCACACTGACTGTACAATGACTCACATACACATGCGGGAGCAAGCTATCTCAGGGGATGTACGACAGAACCATACAGGCAGAGAAGTGGTGAAACATCTCACCAGAGTTTAGCAGAGATGATGACCGCAGAGAGAATCAGCAGAGATGAAATTGTCACCGTCACATAAAACTGTGGGTCCACTGAAAAAAGAAATAGCACAGGAGAAGAATAAATTAGACACAGTGAGGGGACACTTTGAACAGACGTTTGAATTAAACCCATGTGAGACTTTACATTGTAATGATAGGAAGAGGATATGCTGAATTGCAATTCAAATACATATACATAATACAATGTTTACATATGGTCCCACACAATCTGGAATATTTGGTTATATCCTTAACAAGAAATAATACAATTAAAAAACATTCCTCAAACAGTAGAGCATTGTAACCCCAAGGTCATGGGTTCAATTTCCAGGCAGTGCATGAACCAATATAACATCTTGAATGCAATGCAAGTTGCTTTTGATAAAAGTGCCTGCCAAATACATAATTGTAAATTCTGTTTGCTGCCTCAATTCAAATGCAAGAACTGAACTGAAATTTCAAAACTCATTCCCAGTTCACCTTTAAATGGTGCACAACCCTATAAAAAAAAGCAATTAAAGGAAACATAAAGATGTCAAAAAAGTGTGAAGACTTTGAGCGAAAGCAACAAGGAACCATTACAGAAGAGAAGAGAAGAGCAAGAGAAAATGTGGGGGTGAAAAGGGTGGGCAGAGTGTCACAATCAGGTAAAATTGTATTGATTGGATTGATGCCTGCCTCCTGCTCAATGGGAGAGAAATCTAAGCTCTCCTCAAGTGCAGATTTTCTACTACGAGGAACCAGCATGAGCCCAGAGCCCTGTCGGCGATGCAACTCAGATAAAGAACTCATTTCACGGAGACCAACCTTGCTTGGTGTCCTGCTCTTCTGTCTCTATTTTGTCCCTCTCTCCCGTAGTTGGGCGTTGCGTTCGATTGGCGGGCATGCTCCGACGATGCGACCAGTCCTCGGGCGTAGTCACCCTCAAATTCTCCGTCTCCAGGCTGGACAGGAAGTGATGGGTTTCGTCCTCCAGGGGCTGCGTGGGACCCCAGTCCACCGCCCAGAGCTGTGTGGTGCTGGCCTGTGCCGTGACTGGCATCTGCATTTCGCCCAACTCCTCCCACTTCCTGTCATCTGTGTCACCGGTGGCAGTGCAAAAAATTACAGTGACCAGCAGGAAGCTCCAAAGGGGAATGAATCCAATGTGGGGAGAGATGGAGCTGGGGGGAAGGAGAGACAAAGCAACGAAAAGACGGAAGGAGAGATTGAAAAGGAAAAGCTAGAGATCGAAAAAACACATAACTGAGAGGTGTGTATCGAGCACAGATGGAAAAAGACTTAAAGCAGAAGCTGATGCAACCCAACGGGCTGCAGGAAACCAACTGGTCAGATTTGAGAGCACAGTGCAACCAAAACAGTCTGTTCGGCACTCTCACTTTGCCTTACCATCGCTCCATCGCTTCAGCCTGTTCACTGACTCCTTGCCGCTCCGATCATCTCTTAAATGAGAATGACATAAAGAGAAGGATGAGAAGAGAAACAGAGCTGGAAGGGGGAGGGTTCAGTCTTGACACTGACTAAAAGACCATAAACAGATGGCTGTAGTGGAGAAATACCCTGCTGGCTCTGAGACAACACAAATAAAAACACACACATATGCATACACACTCATCCAGATCAAAACGGATCACACTCATCAAACCACAAGATCCACAGAAAATCACACATGCAAACACACCTGTGGATGCTTTCCGTGCGTTAAGCCTCTTCCCGAGCCGTCAAACAAAACTCAACATCTGTATCCAGATTTAGGGCACACTGACTTCCAGGGAACACTCACAAATACACCTACACACACTTGGAAACATGCAGATTCGAACTTTCAAGACGGATATCGGCTCACATGCCTACCTCATGCCACTGAAGAAGGGAGTGGGAGAGAGACAGAGCGCCTGGAAGTGGGGAAAAGCATTGGTTGCCGTAGCGACAGAGACATGTAGAAATTGTGCGAGTGAGAAATAGAGTGCGGAAGAGGGAGGTAGAGAGAGAGAGAGAAAGAGAGAGAGCCAGGGGAGGGAGGGAGGAAAAGAGGATTGGAGGAAAGATTGAAATACTAATTATTATATTCTTAACTGGTTCAAATTAAATAGGAAGCAAGAAGAAAATAAATGAATTTTGAAGGCGAAAATAGCCAGATGGAATAAAAGAAGCAGCTTATTAATATTCTGAAGACCAGTTTAAGTAAATAAAAAGTATTCAAGAGGGACAAATGAAAAGAGGCAGCAGCAGGAGAATCGATATACATTAATGTAGTGTTGGACAGGAGCCCTACATGATGAACAACGCTACAGATATTTATAGACAGAAGTGCCAGCGATGATAAATAATCTCACAAGTACACAGACATAACATGGTAGGTTTTATTGGATCAACGTTTACACAGAAAACAGTCTGTTGTTTCTCTCCTCCTTCTGTTTCTTCCCTTCTGCCAGTCAGTCAATCTGTTCCACTTCAGTTCCTTCAGGTGATTTTTTGCACTCCATCGTCGCCCCTTGACCTTGCCTTCACTTTCTCTTCCTTTCCAGTTTGTTCTTTTTAACCCTCCTTCAATCTCCTTCCCCTCGCACTCATTTTTCATTTACCCCTCCTCTCGCTCACTGAAGAACACAACGCAGCCATGAAGAACTTGCGGGTTCCTCTGTTTCAGATGCATCCTGGGGTATGGAGTCTTCATCATCGTCCACTGGAGGGAAACAAGATATTTTCGTTAAGGCCATCAAAGTGAATTAAATGTTTTATAGCATTGCTTTTTAAATGCTGTTAACTCATTTATTCAAAAACATTGCAAAATTAAGTCCATAAAGTGCGTACATTTTTTTATTTATTTAATTAATACAGCTTTTTTTAGACTGGAATATTTTAGTAATAAAAAATATGCATTTATTAAAATATATTAAAATATTTTAAATGTTAAAATATTGTAACATTTTTTAAATACTTGTTTTTCAAACAGGTTAAAGCATCCATCTTTGACTCTCTCTCTCTTACCCTCGCTTTGTTCGTCATCTGAGTCTCTGTCGGATTCCAGAAGACAATCTTCCAATCGGCTGTCTCGTCTCACTGTGACATCGCCTCTAGAGGAAAAACAACAGAAGACCGTCAGTGCAGGGCACTTGGGTCACACTGTTTACGGGGACAGAAGGATGTTTAACTCAGCCTGAAGCAAAAAGCAAAGCTGCTCTGCTGACAACAGCGCGCTGTCAATGGGTTTGGAATGACTTCATTATACATGCTTTTGAAGTAGCAAGTACATCATTAAGAGTTAGGCAGAGGCAGATCAACTTAAAAATCTTCTTCATATCTGGCTTAAGGTGTCACATTAGCTACATTTCAATGAAAAGGTCTATTTTCAATAGTGTAGCGAAACATGAAGCACTGCTCACACAGAAGTCACTTTTAAACCAGAGAGCTTTTTGTTAGGTCAACCCAGCAAAATTTGCTTGGGGGGTTTGAGGGGGGGGGCGGTGTTTCCCCCTCGATCCGCACCAGTTACACTGCCCTAAGGACAGCCCTGACTACACCTTTAGTTGTTCAGCAGTTACGGTGACCCAACACAGCAGTGACAGCACCAAAATTGTTTTATTGTTCTGCTGTCAAAACCTGCTTAAACCAGCATAATCTTGTTTTAGTTGGTTAAATCTGATCTCCCATCTCTCCAAGATGGTGTTTAGCTGGTTTTGCTTGGCGACCAGCTTAAAAGTGGTCAAAACCACTCCAGAAACCAGCCAACAGACAAGCCTGACCAGGCTGGGAGACCAGCTAAGACCAGCAAACCAGGTTAGGCTGGTTTAAGACGTTTTTGCCCGCAGTGTGTACAATTGTAAACACAAATGTCCTTGAAATTAAACATTTATATTAATATTTACATCAAATGTTGGCATCTGCCTAATTTGGATAGGTTCCAAGTGACATATTAAGTGCCAAAATATTGAATGCAAAGTCTTTGGTTTTGGATTTTACATTGGACATTGAGTGGTGACCCAACACAGCACCAAAACTGTTTATTGCTCTGCCGAAAAACCCAATTAAACCAGTCTGGTCTTAGATGATTTAATCTGGTTTCCCGATCTGGCTAAAATAGAATTTAACATAGCTTGGCAACCAGCTGGTCTTCCAGCCTGCCAGGTGAAAAATGCCCAAAACTACTGTAAAACCATTGAACAGACCAGCCTGACAAGGCTGGAAGACCAGCTAAGACCAGAAACTAACAGCAATGTAAACAAAAAATGTCCTTGAAAATAAACATTGATAGTAATAGTGCCATGAAATGTTGACATCTGCCTAATTTGGATAGCTTCCAAGTGACAGATTAAGCTCCAAAATACAGGATGCAAAGTCTGTGACATCAACAACAAATAATGTGGGAAGCTTTTCTCTCCCCTTTAAAAACCTGAGTGTCTTTTTTGCAAATCTAAATATGCAGAATTATATGGCTAGTTGCATTTGATTACTTGCATTCAGCATTGTTTTCCCTAAAACCCACCAGCTGAGACCTGCAGCTCTAGACTCTACAGAATTGTAGTTGCAAAGAAATCAATACTTTTTCCACAAAGTGATCATCAGCTCGGCATCCAACACTCGATGTGAGCTACGGTTCGCACTGTCAGTTAAACTGTGCCCGGAGCATTCCTGCAGACTTCTCATTAATAAGCATCCCATAGATACATTATATATATTCAAGCCAGCATCTCATTACTGATGAACATATTGATATACTGACTAAATTAAACATTGAGCAGAGTGTCTTATATTAGTAACTATGTGTCAGCAAATGTCTACGAATTGATATATACAGTAATACATTATATAAAGTAGGTTGTGATGGGATAAGTAATGGGCAGAAGGGGTTATAAAGTACATCAATTAGAAGTAGTAGGTTTGGTATAAACGAAAGGACTGCTGTATCTGAAAAAACACACCTCTTTTTGAAACTTCCAGGAAGCTGCTCCCAAACAATGAGGTCACGACCCCCTGTGACCCAACGATGGTCCCCGCTTGCTGTTAGCCATGCAGCAAAACAAAGAATCCTGGGAAGATCTGAAGAGGTGAGCGAAACCAGGTATTTGCACTGGGGAAGAGAGAAAACTTAAAGAGTGTGAGAGAAAGAAAAAAAGAAAGGGGGAGTGATTATACAACTCGCAGTTTTGCACATCGAGAGGTGTTAAAATAAAATTAATGTTAAATTCACTCACGGTTAATAGTGCTCTCTCCATTAGTGATGTCAAAACAAGAGCCAATCAAAAGGCCGGGTATTTGATTGACACAATCTGTGACACCAGCAGTGCTGCTGTGATTGGTTAGTCTGGTCATCACGCCTGCAAATGATTGGGGAGAGCAAACATGCATCATTAGGGGCATCTAACATCCATCCACTGAAACGCAAATAAACCACAAACAAAAAGTAATTAAACTCACATAATCTGTCTATTTATAGACTCCGTTCCTACTCTGTCAATAGCTGCAGACTTTGCTGTGTGTTTTATTCCGTTAATACCAATGTTTTTTTGTCTGTAAGAAGCTCATTAATTCTTTGAGAGCTCCAGCTACGAGTTATTTTATGAACTGGGGTCATTATGAATCTCAGCGCTCTCGATTAGAGTGTCACATCATGTTTTGTGCTCCAACCAGTAACTCTGATTTATCTGATGTAATTGTTTACAGGTTGTTGTTGTTTTCCCCTGAGATAATGGCCTTTAGCACAAATATCCTGTGAGAAAACGGGATTAAAATGAGAAAGTGGCGGATTTTTTTACGTTTTCCTCTGCCCTGGGGTGAACAGCCCCCTCTCCTGCCTGTGTTCTCTGAGCCACTGGGACTTTAACAAAGATTATATACAGCTCTGAGCGAACAGACTCAGTCAAGATGTATTCCATTAATAAAACTTTAAATAGCCTTTAGTCAATGAACAAATGAAGGTCCAATGGGGGTTGTAAAATATTTATTGCAACAGAATCCTGCATATCCATGAGAAGTACTTTATAAAATAAGATGTTGACTAAATATTGGTGTTGATGGCAGATCATAGGATTATGTTGATTTAACATGTTTATTTGGTGTGATTAAGTTAAAAAAAAGAAACGCGGGCCTATTCATCGGCACACTTTTATGTACAGTCATGGCCAAAAGTTTTGGCAGTGACATAAATTTTGTGTTTTGCAAAGTTTGCTGCTTCAGTATTTGGAGATTATTATTGGTATACTGAAAAACAATGATAAGCATATAAGTTTTAAAGGCTTTTATTGGCAAAACAATATAATGAGTCAATATTTACAGTGTTGACCATTGTTTTTCATAACCTCTGCAATTCGCTCTAGCATGCTGGAAATCCTCTCTCCTTGAAGTTCTTGATGATCCGGTAAATGGTTCTTTCAGGTGCAATATTTCTTTGGAGGTAACCATTGCTAACAAGAACACAATGATTGGAAGCGCTTCTTCCCTCCTTTTATAGCAATCAGTCTGCTCTTACAATCTAATTAGTATGATAGTGATTAACCTGACTAGTACTTATTCACACTTTCACATGTGCTGCTGATATGATTAGTCAATTAATGTTAACTGGTATTTTGTGACAGGATCAAAAAACAGTGAAATTTATTTTTTGTGAAAAGTAAATTTTTTTGGCCAATGAAGCTTTTAGCAATTATTTAAAATGCATCTGATCACTCGACACAATGATCTAGAAACAATGTGAATGAACACCACAACAGCTTAAGCTGCAAACTTGACAAAACACACAATTTATGTCACTGCCAAAACTTTTGGCCATGACTGTAGTCTTTGAAATATATTTTTCTAGTTTTCCTAATTTGAGGGCTGCTTTTATCAAATACTGATATATGAGATTAACAGTGATTTATTTGATTGTAAATTCAAGTAAATATATTTAAATATACATAAAACTTAATTTTATATACATATATTTATTATTGTTTAATAATTAAGTTATTGTTTATTTTTTAAGATCAATAAGACTTTTTTAAAGAAATCAACACTTTTTTATTCTGTAAGGATGCATTAAATTGACCAAAAATGA